CCCTTAAGGTCAGAGGAGCCGTCACAGCCCACAAAGAAAAAGGTATTTCTGTCTCTTGTGTGGTTATTTCGCACAGCCCAATTTGCCCAGTTCCCCTGGAGTGACCCCTGAGTGTTTAAGTCTCAAGCAACTCGGCAGTTGGCCCTCAGTAGCCTCAGGTTGTGCACCCATAGATCCAACCAACTATGGATCGAAAATATTTTTTTTTAATTGTCTGAACATGTACAAACTTGTTTCTTGTTATTATTCCCTGAACAATATGGTATAACTACTCTTTACGTAACATTTATATCATATTGTCCATTATAAGTAATTTTGACATGATTTGAAATACAAAACAACACACATGTAGATTATATGCAAATACTATGCCATTTTATATCAGGATTTGAGCATCCATAGGTTTTGGTACTAGAACCAATCCCCTACAGATATAAGTGGCAGCTGTATAAAACATCTAATGTGGTTACCTAGAGCCTATTTCAAAAAGAAACTGATCCACCCAGTATTAGTTTGTTTCAACTTTAAGATTTATTACTATTAACTCTCAAATGGTTCTATGGTTATCTATAGGTAGCTACTTACAACAGAGTGCTATTGTGGTACTGGTTCCCTGTTTGATTCTCACGGTAGCTGGTGAGCTATCAAATAAATCGGTCTTTCTCTACCAAAGGCACATTCTTTACCATAGGCAACCACCTTACAAGGTGTGAGGCTAGAAGAGTGTGGATGACTCTGCAAGTCCATCAAAACCAAGGCAAAGTAGCTAAATCACAGTCCTATGGACAAAGGTAGGTAAATGTTTATACCCAGCAAGAAAACTCCTCTCTTGAAGACTTTGACTAGATAATTAGGCTCTAAGAAGGCTTTAAGGAAATTTTGAGAGCACCTAAATCTCTCTGTGATACCAAACTCATACTTTAAAGCCCTGGATCTTGTCTTTTGTCCTTTCAAATGTTACACTTTCTTTTATTAGAAAGCAGGAAAATCCACATATCTCATTATGAACGTGTATTAAATTTCTATAGAATCTAAATCCACTAAACAAGATGACTTAACAGGCTTGCCCCAAGGCTAGTTTGGAGTGAATCAAAAACAAAAGCTGAGACTTCTGATTGAGAAATCTGACTGTAGCTTTTTGCCTCAAAGCTAGGCTCACCCTGTCTTGTGGGAGGGCACTCCTTATACCAGGGGAGACAAGTCCCAGCACTCTGAGCTTGTGCAGGCAATTCTGTGGGAAGTGCCAGGTCATGCTGCCTGTGGAGCTGTGCCAGGCTGGGGGTTTGCTGTCCTCACATGCGGAAATAGCTCACAGGGACTGCTAGCCCCTGCTCTTCCCCTTCCCGCTGGGGTCTCACCACCTTCTCTTTTATCTGTGCTTTTGTCTTAATAAATTTTACTCTGGGTACTATCTTCAGCTTCAGAAAAAAATGTGGCTAATCCTTTCTGAGCTTCATCTTGAGACATTTATAAACTTGTATTCTCATTCCATATTTGTGAATTCTATTACAAATAACACCCTATTTATTATTTTTGCATATAATAATGTGTATTTATAGTCATTCTTGAATTGCAGGGGGTAATCATTATAAAGGATTATGGGTAGTCTTGGGAATGGTCAGGTTTGGGTTAATAAGAGCTTTTTAATGTTAATGTGTGCCAACTCTAGTGGTTAACGAACTACATCTATGTCTAAGTCTATAGGAGAGATCAAATTCTCATTTTTCTCTTAATGAAATTAAAACTTTTTACC